AAAAAACAATTCGATTAAATAGGACATATATTTCATTACTATACAATATCAAATACTAGTAGATGGTCCGATTTAATACCTTTAAAACCTTTTCTAACTCTCGACCGTCCTCACCAACTTTGTACGATTTGCTCATCTTATCACCACTATTTTGTTATTCGTCGATGCGGAAACATATATTACCTGCAATAACGAAACATACCTGTGTACATTGTATGTGCGTAGCGTTATTGTCTGGCATTTATTTTAATATTTTCGATGTAAGTGACTCATGACTAGGAGATGAAAAAATTTTAAACTAATGATAATGCCTATATATTTTCCTGTATTATACAGCTGTTCGTGTAGAAAAATCCACACAAACAACCTTTAGCACCCCATTAACCTCTGTTGAACTACTACCGCCACCACTCCCCCCCACACAAAATAGATAAAATTCCATCATTTCCTTTCTTATGGTTTAGCTTACTTTTTGTCCAGATCCCCACAGCACCCAATGCACTGGTCCGTACATACATCTCACCACCCCTCGCAGAATTTTTCTTGACCTACCACCTCTGATACCATTTTTGAGAAATTTAACTGAAACCTTACTTACCATCATGGACCCTGACACCTACCTGCATACATATATTTATACATATTATTTAATTAAAAAATTTATTTTATTAGAAAATTCCGATAGGATATGAACTTTCAATACAACTAATTTATACATACATATAAGTTAGTGGGTATTATTTGCTGCTACTATGTATACATATATTAATAACATGGAAAATATCTGAACGTCGTTTCCGTTATTCTGTATCATATAATTTTTTTTTTAAACACCCTACCGCTTTTCAATGTCTTCATACGCACTTGAAAATTAACTTTTGAATACATATTTTTATGTATTCTACACAGCCCATAACGCAAATAAATAAACATTGTACAAATAAACAATTAATACTTAAGTTATTTGTACAACTTTAAGTAAGGTCATTAACAAATTTATATCTATTTTAATTTATGTTAAAGTATAATGTTCTTTGTGCGTTTAGTTT